GATCGTCGATTTGCTCGAGCGGGCCCAGTAACGTCTCCATTGGAGACTTTGTTGTTACTGTGTCTGGCATATCGAATACTCTCGGTAGCTTGCCAGGCTCTCCGAGAGGGGTGGAGGAATGGTCCCTGGAGTGTCTCGATCTTTATGCGTGGACGTTTCTGCAAAGTTATCATGATATCTGAGTCATGAATAGGGTTAATGACCTCAGCCTTAGACACTCCTGTCTTAGAAATTCCATGTGTGTAACCGAAGAACACTTATTAACCAAAGAAATTCTATTTGTAAAGGAGAGTCATAGTGCTCTTGTGTGGCACCAATGTTATGTTTGACATAGAGGATACCTCAAGTTCTTTAGAGATAATGTTCAAATTACACAGATGTTTGGATTGCATGAGACTAGCTTCCCCCACTCCCCCAATCCCACTCTAGAATAACACCTGAAACATGATTTCTTTCATAATTATGCATGATACAGAATTTGGTAGGATTTTTAGCATTTGCATGTTGTCCATGTCCTGGTATTTAAAACTGATGAGTCTTTTTACAGTCAATGAAAGAAAATTATTGCCTTTTCATATGGCACTGTTGTTTGGGAGGGTGTCCTCTGTGCTATCCAGGATGTTGCTTCTCTGCTTTGTGTTAGGTAGTTCCCATATCTGGACACATGCTGTGAGGGATCAGGACTAGGATAGACACTGGTCGACCTTGTGAGTGTGACTTCGAAGTAACACGTCTGGTCCCTGCTGGCAGAAAGTAACCCCGTTTATTATTGGGCGATAACATTTGTCCTCTCTGTTTGCTTTTCCTCTGTCCCACCTTCTTTTTACTGAATTTAATGAGAGTAAGCAGTGCTATTATCCATTCCGGAAGCTCTTCTGAGGAAAAAAAAAGCTCTTGTTATTACTAACACAATGTTATAAAAGTGGTGAGTGAAGTAAACAGGTAAATGGAATTATCTGGCCAAAGTCATCAATGACTCAGATGGGTGCGGGAGGAATTTATGACACTAGTTTTCTAATGAGGACAACGGATGCCAGACTTTTCTGATATTATGAGTCATCTCAGCATCTATCAATTTCGAGTGTTTTTTATCAGGGAAGGGTTACTTTCTTGGGTCCAAGTTGATGTAAGGAATTCACTGCTGGATCAGTGCTCAATAATCCCCTCCCCTCCCCTCCCCTCCCCTCCCCTCCCCTCCCCTCCCCCTCCCTCCCTCCCTCCCTCCCTCCCTCCCTCCCTCCCTCCCTTCCTTCCTTCCTTCCTTCCTTCCTTCCTTCCTTCCTTCCTTCCTTCCTTCCTTCCTTCCTAACTTTTTAAATATATTAACATTGTCAATATATCTTTGTGTGAAGAAACTATGAAAATAGAAAAACATCTCTTGTTGTTTTCTGAAGTCTTCCAGACCAAATCTTCCTAAGCCACCGTTGGGTAATTTGAATCCCGTCTAACAACATTCTGAAGGTTATTAAATTAAGACTTTTGTCTTTTTTTATTTTTAGCATACTCAAGTGTATATATAAATCTCTGGAATGTTGAAGGAGGGACATTCCTCAAGGGCCAGATTTTTTTTCCCTGTCTCTCCTTGTGAACAGGAGACCTGCAAATTAAGGATATTTGATTCTTTTCTTTTTAAATTATTTTCCTTTTGAAACTCCATCACAGAATAAAGAGTTGTTTATTTGTGGTAGATGAATTATTGAATAGAGTAATCACTGTTTCAAGTTATTGTTTTCTGGTGGTTGTAAATGAATAATTAATAAAGGTAATATTAATAGAAAAGCCTTATTACAATGTTAAATTTCATCATGACCTGGCATGAGCAGCAGCAACCCAGAATTCACAATAATCTAAATTTAGAAACAAAAGGTATATTCTGAAGTTGTGGTTGTTAAAACTGGGTTCTTTTTTTTTTTTTTTTTGCTTTTTGGGTTGCACCCGGTGATGCTCAGGGGTTACTCCTGGCTCATTCACTCAAGAATTACTTCTGGCGGTGCTTGGGGGACCATATGGGATGCTGGGAATCGAACCCAGGTCGGCACTTGCAAGGCAAATGCACTACCAGCTGCAGCCCCCTAGGTTCCTTTTAAAAAATATTTCATTTTAAATAATAATGAAAAAGTTTTATAGCTTGAAAAATCCTAGTGGGGGATGTGGTGAGCAGAAGAGATAGTACAGTGGTAGTGTACTTGCCTTATACCTGCTGACCTGGGTTTAATTTCTGTACCATATATGGTAACCAGATTCCCACCAGGAGTTATCCCTGAGGAATTACAGAGACAGGAGGAAGCCTGAGCACTGCTGGGTGTCGCCAAACCTGTCCCCCATTCCCAAATAAAGAAGAACAGGAATGAAGATGGTGAAATTTCAGGCATCTACTTGAACATAGAAAATTTTCCACTCTTCTAAAGCACAGAATCTAAGGCCACTCCCTCCCAAAGTTTTTAAATTGAGATTAATATAATGTAGTAATTTATGTACTCTCTCTTTCTCTCTATATATGGTTTTGGGGGGGCCTACACCAAGTGATACTCAGGGATTATTCTTAGGAGTTGCTCCTTTTGTAGTATTCTTGAGAGTATGAAAATTTAGGAATATCTGCAGATTCTGTCAGAGTAAGTTTGACTTTTTCATTGTTAACTCATTGTGTGGTTATTGGCCTGTTTGGGAGAGTTTAAATATTGTTAATTTTTTACCCACTCATTCAACTCTGGTGACAGATCAGTCAATGATGGGCTTGTTTGAATGAGTTATACTGTTTACTTTGTAATTAAAAAAACTGGGGGAAGGGTGTCTCCCAAGAGGTACTTAGGAGACCCAGGGATCCCTCCAGTTGAATTTCTGCCACCTGGATCTGTGATTCAATGTAAGGGCCCACAGAATTTGGTGTTCCTTGTGTGCTGTAGTGTCATAGTTTACCCAGGACACACCGGTAATGCCATGGGACCTCCAGGAGGGACCTGGAGATGCTTGGGAGACTGTATGGGAGTGGGATTGAACTGGGGTCAGCAGCATGCAAGGAAAGCACACTACCCCCATCTTTACCCCCCGTCCCCACACACTGCCTTTAAATCTGGCTAAATATGTTTTTTTTTTCCTTTTTGGGTCATACCCAGTGATTCTCAGGGGTTACTCCTGGCTCTGCATTCAGATATTACTCCTGGCAGTGCTTAGGGGACATATGGGATGCTGGGAATCAAACCCCGGTTGGCCGCAGGCAAGGCAAACGCCTTACCCACTATGCTATCACTCCAGCCCCTAAATAATATGGTATTAAAGATGAATCAGTTTGGAAAAAAATCAGTGAAAATAATTAATAGAAAAAAATAGTTAAGACCAACTGAGCTAAATTATAATAAAGAGATTCTTAAATTGGCAATTTGAAAGGACCCAACACATGTTTCTGTAGCAACAGTGGAGGAAACAGATTTTGCTGATGTGACGTGGGATCCTAAGACACAGCCAGAGGACCCCTGCCTGTTGTGTGCAGTTCTCTTCTTCTGTCTGTTGACTTGGTTTCCTTGTTTTATGTTGAGGTCTTAGCTCTGAATGACAGGATGGTGACCTATAATTTTTTATTTATTTATTTATTGAATCACCGTGGGAACGGTTACAAAGCTTTCAGGTTTAGGTCTCAGTCATGCAAATATCAAACACATTTCCCTTTACCAATAATTTTTTACCATGAAGAACCCCAATAAAACCCCACCCCCCACCCCTCCCAGTCCCTGTGAGGCAGATGAATTCTAGTTAACACTCTATCTGCTTTGATTAGATTCATTGTTTCAATAAAAGATTCACCACTATTATTTAGAGTTTACCCGCCCCCCCAAATCAGACATGCTGAAAAAGCATTGTGAAGTGATTTGCTTTCTACAGCTGGGTTCAAGAATTAAATGTTGGTTTTGGATTTCTGCTATTTTACCTATTGACCCTGGAAGTATTTCTACTGAAAGTCAGATAGTTAAGAAATTGGTTTCTGTGTTCTGGAGTCGTGGCCGTGCTGGAGAGCCGCTCATGGGGGTCAACTGTTGGCCTCGGTAGGGCTTGAAGGGCGGACCGAAACGCCCCCCTTCCCATGAGGTTTTAGTCTCCCCCACACCCCCGGCTCATACCTGCTGTCCACAAGGCTCCCATGCGGCCGCCATCTTTCTTTCCAGAGAGGAGAGGGCGAATGGGGCAACACCCTTTCCCCTCTGGGCAGACACGATGGCCTGGATTAATGCATAGTCCGTTCACTTTTCTGCTCCAAGCTGCTGGGTTCTGCATTAAGTCCTTGTGCTTCTGGGGCTGTGGCCGTGCTGGAGAGCCGCTCGTGGGGGGCAACTGGTGACCTCGGTAGGGTGTGAAGGATGGACCAGAACGTCCCCCTTTCCATGAGGTTTTAGTCGCCCCCACACCCCTGGCTCATACCTGCTGTCCACAAGGCTCCCATGTGGCCGCCATCCTTCTTTCCAGAGAAGAAAGGGCGAATGGGGCAACACCCTTTCCCCTCCGGGCAGACATGATGGCCTGGATTAACGCATAGTCCGTTCACTTTTCTGCTCCAAGCTGCTGGGTTCTGCATTAAGTCCTTGTGTTTCTGGGGCTGTGGCCGTGCTCCAAACATAACTCTGATTTTCAGGGAGAAACATTGGGTGGTTTACTTCCCATTGATCACTTTGTATATAGAGAGATGTTGCGTGGCCACATAAGCGGCCGCGCGGTTTTGAGGAAAAGTCCTAGTTCCCGCATACTCCAGCTGTGCTTGTAGAGGCTTCTGGTCACCGGGGTTCCATCTGGGGGAGGTGGGATGCGGTACCTACCCCATCTGGGACTTCCCGATGATCTCGGCTCTTTTTGGAACCTGTTTTTTTTTTTCTCTGGGAGCTGTGGATCCCGCCCTCCATGTGGCCCTTCTCTTCGGCTGTATGCTTGACCTATAATTTTTGAAAATGTTCAAATGATCACTCTGTTGGCATTTTGGTAATTGCATATGTTTTTTTGTTTTGTTTTGTTTTCAGTTTGGTCAATAAGCTTAAACCCGGTGTCATTAAGAAGATCAATAGGCTGTCCACACCAATAGCAGGTTTGGTAAGTAATAGACTGTCTTTAAAACTAAATTTCTTGGATTTTGAAACCATGGGCGTAGACTAATACCTGGAATTATCATAGAAATTAGGGTTGGGTGTCTCCCTCCCTTCCCCTCCCCTTTCCCTTCCCCTTCTCCTTCCTTCCCCTTCCCTTCCCGTCCTCTCCTTTCCTTTTCCTTCCCTTTCCTCCTCCCTCCCTTTCCTCCTCCCTCCCTCCCTCCCTCCCTCCCTCCCTCCCTCCCTCCCTCCCTCTGTCTTTCTCTCTTTCCCTTCCTTCCTTCCTTCCTTCCTTCCTTCCTTCCTTCCTTCCTTCCTTCCTTCCTTCCTCTGTCCCTTCCTTCCTCCTTCCCTCCATCCCTCTCTCCCTCCCTCCCTCTCTCCCTCCCTCCCTCCCTCCCTCCCTCCCTCCCTCCCTCCCTCCCTCCCTCTTTCTCTCTCTTCCTTCCTTCCTTCCTTCCTTCCTTCCTTCCTTCCTTCCTTCCTTCCTTCCTCCCTCCCTCCCTCCCTCCCTCCCTCCCTCCCTCCGTCGCTCTCTCTCTCCCTCCCTCTCTTTTTCTATCTCTCCCCTCCCTCCATCTCTCTCCTCTTTCTCTCTGTCCCTCCCTCCCTCCTTTCTACTCTCCCCTCTCAAGAAAATGTTTCTAGGGGGTGGATTGAGTACATGTTTTGCTTGCAGGTGACCTGAGTTAAGTCTCTGTACCAAGTTAAGACCCTGTACCCTTGAGCACAATTGATAGTGGCTCCAAGCTCTTAACCAGGAGCTGGTTCTCATCATCTCCTATGTGGTCATCAAAAAATAAAAAAGAGAAGTGATTCTAGTGATTTTAGGGGTGTTATATCTAGTAATTCTATATCTTTAGTGCTTTATTTATTTATTTGCACAGAGGCTTTACTTTTACTTATTTTTTCAGTCTGCTTGTTTTGATATCTGTGCCCTTAAACGTCACACCATTTTCTGGATTATTTATTCCACAAATTGCTTTTGTATAGAATTTTATTCTTTCTGACAGTCAATCCTGCATACATTGTTAGCTGGCCACACTTTATGGAACTATCAGATATTCAATGCTTGTTTTTGCTTTACACTCTGACATTACTCTGTCTTAGTCTTGGGGAATATATTAATTTTGGAGGAGTTGGCCACACCTGGTGGTGCCCAGGGTTTACTTTTGGCTCTATGCTCAGGGATCATTTCTGGTGGGAATCAGGGGACCATATGGGTGCTGGAAATCAAACCTGGCTGCCCTGCTATACTATCTCTCTGGTCGGAGAGTAGTTTTGAAATTCAAGACTTGCTTACTTTTTTCTTCAGTGTAATGAATTCTCCACCAATATGCAGTGTGATGTGGCAAGACATTTTTTCTCTTTGCGTTGGTAATACTATTATAATGATCATGGGTTATTTTCTAGACTCTTTCTAACTTCAAATTCAGAATTTTGCATCTAAAGAATACCCAATACAGTTATATAAATACTTTGAAGGATCCAGTTCCTTGAGAGGCCAGAAATAGATGGCATTTGGAAATAACTGATTTGTAATTAAGTACAGAAGCTGAGTAATTTCTCACATGTTTTGGAGCCCTCAGAACCAAGGCTGGTGATAGCAATCAGTTAAGTTGCTTAAAATATGTTCAACAACCTTCTTTTGACCAGGCCTGCAGATACTAAAAATATGAAGAATTTAAAGGTAGGAGTACTAAAATGTTTTTGATTCCTGCTGACATGAAAATCTCATCAAAGTTTTGACAGGAGTAAGTTGAATGCAGATTAGAATTTTTTTCCTAGAAGAAAAGATATTTAAAGTATTTTTCTTTTCTTCTGAAATATAGCTTAAAGATTTTCCAATATTGAATAGGTATGCATATAACTAAACATATTTGAAATATATACTTACATATATTAAAAGTTCCCAAAGCTGTTCGATCCAAATATTTGCTCATTTTAACAGCTTTTTTTGTATTCCATTTGTGTCATAACTAGGAGGCTGACATGATATTATTATTGATCCCAAATTTGTGTAGATAAGAAACTCATATGCAGTGAATAGAATTAGCTTTAGTAATAGTGTCAGAAGTTATTTAAAGAGAAAAGTGAGAGAAATATTTTTTGAAATATTTCTAGGTAGAAACATTCAATTTAGTAAAATAAGAAAACTGAAAAATAAGTTTTCTAAAGCATCTATGATCACGGTCATGATCATCCTGTTGTTCATTGATTGCCTCGAGCAGGCTCCAGTAACGTCTCCTTCTTCCTCGCCCTGAGATTTTAAAAGAGCCATATTCAATGTTCTTTCAGGGCTAGGAGAATGAGACCTATCATTGTCATTGGTATCTATGAACATTCTAAGTTGCAGTTATATTGAAAATATTGGGACTAGAGAGTTAGTAGAGGAGTTAAGGCACTTGCCCGAAGCCTGGGCAACTCTGGCCTATCCCCAACACCATATCTAGTTTTCTGAGCACTTCTAGGAGAGTAATCTTTGAGCACAAAGATAGGAGTTGGTTCTGAGCAAAGCCAGGTATGGCACAGACTCCCACTCCCCCCTCACTTCCCAAATTAAAGGACTCGTCTCTTCAAAGGGGCTGAGTAATATATTTAGATAGGCTGACGTTTAGATTTTTAAATGCCATTTCTTGGATCAATTGCATATGTTTTAAATAAAATTAGCCTTTGGTCTCAAACACCCCACATATTTGGAATGCCTGAATTATTGTTTGTTGTTGTTGGACCCTAGAGATTTTATTCCGTCTTGATTCTGTGATTAGACAAGAACACAAAATACAATTTTATTTTTAAATCCAAATATCTCCGAGTATTTCTATTTCAAGCATCAGAAATTCTATCTGGTTGGAATTTTATCTCTAGAAACCAAGCTAAAATGCATTTCTGGTAAATTAAATAGGATGATTTCTCAAATATTGAGTATTTTCATTTGGATGTTGGGAGTATAAGTGACTGTGATTCTGGAAGAGGTCTCAGCCCAGCTGGTTGAAAGTCATTACATGCCTCATTGGACTCCTTCTCATGCTTTATGTGTCAGCTTGCTTTTCTCAAAACTTCTAAGTCTCAATTTCCAGTGCAAAGTAGAGCTTCAGAATTTACTTGTAGGGTTGTTAATGAGGAGGGAAAGGAATAATATATAGATTGTGTGATAGAGATGTGGTGACTCACCTGATAATTAAATATAACATTATACACAGATACCTCATGAAATTTTTTTGGTGGCAGTTTATACTTTTAACCAGTAATCGAGTGTCTGCCAAATAAAATTTTCCCCATTTATAGAGGATTAAATATGTATGTAATATATATAGAAATCTTATTCTTGACACAAGAAAAAAAATCAGAGCCAGATTCTCCATACTATTGTTGTGTTTATTGTGTTTCTAGCATACTATTATTGTAGTTATTCTGTTTATAGCACCTAACATGATAGGTGCATTGGAGAACAAATATATCAATTTTTAAATAAAGGAATCTGCACTATTTGTACTATGAAAAATAAGACTGAGGATTAGAGAGATAGTGCATCAGGTAAAGGTGCTTGCCTTGCACATGTCAACTGAGGTTTAATCACTGCCACCCTGAGCACTGCTAAGAGTGATCCCTGAGCACAGAGCCAGAAGTAAGTCCTTAGTTCTGCTGGGCACGGTCCAAAAACCAACCAAACACTCTAGGATAATGTCTTTAATGGGAGAGTATTAGAGGCCTAATTATGTTTCTTTACCACTCCTATACCTCCTCCCATCCCACCCCCGCCATCCTTCAGACAAGGAACACGACCTTGTCAGGGAATACGGTTGTTGCTGCTGCTGATGCAATTAGCGAGGTCAGGATGAGGTCACAATGGAATGGGGAGATGATGTGCCCAGATCCAATACAAGACGGACATGTGAAGACAGGTTCACACAGGGGAGTACCAGGTGATGCAGCTACAGGACAAGTAACATGCCAAGTTTGCCAGCCAGCCCCCAGAAGTGGGAAAGAGACAAGGAAGGGGATTCCTCTGTGGGGTTCCTCAGGAGTGTGTCTTTGTGTGGAGACCGTGCGTTTGGCCTTCTGGCCTCCTGAACTGAGAGATAATAAATGTCTATTATTTGAAGTACCACCCCGAGTGCAGAACTTCACTAACTTAACTAAAACAGCGACGGAATATTCCTAGGTAATATTCAATTTTAGATAGCTCAATAGGCTGAGCACATGCTTTGTATGTAGAAGACCCAGGTTTGATCTCTGCACCAAGAGGAGACATCACCAGGCGCAGAGTTGGGTATAGGCCCTGAGCACCCGGTGTGGCACCAAAACCATCTCCCTGCCCCACAGCAACTCACTTTTAAAGAAAATTGTTATCTTGAAGTAAGGATTTCACAGGAAATAATATTTAAAAATATGAGGCTGGAGTAATATGTACTAATACAGCAGGTACTATTGCCTTGAGTGCAGCTGACCCTGGATTGATCCCTGGCATCCCCTATGGACCCTGCCCATTTCTGGGTGTGGCCCCAAACCAAAATAAATATATAGAGAGAGATCATCACTACCCCTTAGCCAGTTTTATCCAGTTTTACTGGGGGTAACATCTTGCATAAATACAGTCCAATATTAAAGCAGTAAAACTGGGCTGGGGAGATACCTCAGGGTTTGGGACACATACCTCGCATATATGGAAAACTTGGTTTTAATTTCTAGTACCAGATGGTCCATGGGACTCTACCAGGCATGACCATCAAGCATTGAGTAGCCCCTGAGTACCACCAGTTATGGCTTCAAACCCCAAACCAAAAAACAGCAAAAACCCAAAAAAACCCCAGGGAATTGACATGAGTATAATTCACCATTTTCATACCATTTTCATACCAGTTTATATATTTTTGTTATTTGTCTTTTAAACCAGAGTGCAGATACTTTTATAGCTAAATGAATGGAAAAGTGTTGTTGTTTTTTGTTTTTGTTTTTTGTTTTTTTTTTGCTTTTTTGGTCACACTTGGCGATGCACAGGAT